TGATGGTGGTGGTGAGGACAGTACTAAGGTAATGGTGGTGGCAAGAGCAGAGATGGAAGCAGTCCTGGTAGCAGAATCAGCAGTGTCAATGAAGATTAAGCACCAGCTTTACTATAGCCAGCACTTCTACCAGGACAGGTCTTCCAAGGATCTTATACAGACTGAATAATTCAGTTAGCCTATGAGCACTATAATCTTATTTTCTCAAATGAGTCACCTGAATGTGAGGGTAGTTTAATTGCTTATCTAGAATCACCTGGGGAAAGAGTCTCAATTCAGAATTATCTAAGTCAAGTTCATCAGAGTGTACCCATTGGTGGGTGATTATCTTGATTACATTAATTGATGTGGGAAGACCAAGCCCACTGTGGAACTTCCATGGGTTTGGGTCCTGGACTGTATAAAAGAGGAAAAAGTGAAGTGGATATGAATATGTATGAACTGATTCTCTTTGCTCTTGAGTACAGATGTGATATGACTAGCTGCTTCAAGTTCCTGCCTTGGCTTCCCCACAATGAAAGACTATAACCAAGAACTGTAAGCTGAATCAACTCTCCCTTACAGCTGCTTTTGTCTGTGTTTCTGTCACAGCCTCAGGGAAGGAAACCAGGGCACTGAGCTGACTTAGATGAGACTACCCATGTTAATAAACAGTGGAGTCAGGATGTAAAGCCTGAACTCGGGCTGTAGAGCCTGGCCTCTTACTGTACTACATTTGGTATCTTTATGCTTTATGCTATGATCCATGGCACTTCAAAACACTTAACTTTGAGGTGTTCTGTTATATTTTTTAAAAATCTATACTCTAGTTTCTTCCTGAATTTAGAAATGAAAGTCAGCCTCATTTCTTGTAAGAACTTGGTCAAAAGCATGACCATCTGTGGAATGAGGAACAAGGGCTTTCTGTGTCCAACAGAAGCATAGTGGTTAGTGCTGCTGGAAGCAAAGGCTTTAGAGAGAGGGGACATCCCACTCTGGCCTTGGACCACCAGAGAACACAGACAGTATCATTCCAAACCCTCCAGAAGAAAGAAGGAGGCAGACATGTCTTGTATAAGAAGTAGGAGAGGTACAGCGCATTGTGATCCCACACATCTGCCAAAGAGAGAATTCCACCCCACCCAGCTCTCAAACTTCCCACTGACCTTGAGCGCCTCTGGCCTGTCCCACCAGTCTGGGAGGTTTCATCGATTAACGGACTCACAATCTTTTCAGTCATATCTGTGAGCACAGTGAAGGTGGGTTCCACAATGAAGTCGATAAAACCTACAGAGAAGCAGCAGTGGTTTAGATAACAGTATGCTACCGGGACTAGCCCAGATTTTCCACTGGAAACCAATTAGTCTTTTCTTAACTAACCAACCAAACAAAACACTGTCTACATGGGAGCTCCAGAGCAGCCAAGAACTAGTTGGTCTCATTCTTACTGAATGTCATGAGTCAGTTTCATTTCCCCTATATAATTTCCTTAGGGCTTTTTAATAAGTGATTCAATTGAATGCTTAAAAATACAATTTAACACCTGCTATATAATAAGTACTGTGATGTGTTTTGTAAAAGGCTGAAGATGACTAATGCACTCCAACAGCCCTCAAGGAGTTTATAGATAAGATTTAATGGGCACAAAAATGACCCCTACAGTTTCTTCAGGGCCAAAGGAGAAGCCCAGATGAAGGCACCTGGGAAAGAACTAGAACATAATGAAAGGAGATTATTTTACACTATAGAGACCAGTGAGCAGTTGTGTAGATGTTTAGTGTTTGAGCTGAGCTCTTAAGGATGGGTGGCAAGAACAGGGTGGCTATTCACTCTGGGCAGAGGGACTTTCAGAGGTGGAAAAGTGTGCAGGCGGTGTCTGTGCAGTGACTGGGGTGTGGGAATGCTTGGAAGTGGGGGAAAAAAGGTTTGGGGAGGCCAGCTATCCACAGCTCAGGGAGGGAAATTCCTGGGGTTTAGAATCGGAGAAGTTCTGGGCTGGCCTGCTCCGGGCAGCTTTGTGATGATACATTTAAATGAGCTTTGATACAGTCCATGCAGCAAGAGGCATGGAAAGGCCGTGAGGAGGAAGGACAGGGGGTGGGGAAATCTTGTTAGGAGCGATTGCAGCTGCTCAAACAGAAGGTAAGGAACCGAGACCCAGAGCTGTTGTGAAGTGGGCACCAAGGGCACAGAGAGCGCAGGAGGCAGCATTGCTCTAGAGGGATCCCTCTCGGAGGCTCCAGCAACACAGCGGAAGGAATGAGAGAAGACAGGATGGGCTGCAAGCTGATGGCCTGACATACAGGAGGCAGAACCTCCTGCAAAGAGTTAGAAGAAAGGACTAGAAACTGAGTTAGGGTCATTAGTGAAATGAAACCTTTTAAGATGGCCATACTGGGGAGATAGCAAAAGCTGGCTTACATAGATCATCTTAACTCAAAGCCCAAAACACAACCACAATAACGAGAGAGAAAGAAAGAAAACTAGCTGAGTATTTGTGACACACTGAGTGAAAATAGTACACACGCTGGCACTAGCAGGGAGTGGAGTAAGTCATCCATAGTCACACATAAGGAAGGAAACAAACACCCACGCAGGGGGTCACTGCCCACTCCTCTGAATGGGTGTCTGGAAATGCAGGGATGAGTATTTAGTTGTCACAGTTACTAAGGGGGGAGCAATACTGGTGCTAATACTCAGCAGAGAAGGGTGTTACAACTATAGTGTAAACAACAAAATAAGAACTGTCTATCTAATAAGGAAACATTGGTAAGAGTTCACTATAATTTAATTTTGAGCTCAAACTGCAGTATTTGATGATACACAGAATTCTTTTTTTTTTAAATTTTATTTTATTTTACAATACCATTCAGTTCTACATATCAGCCACGGGTTCCCCTGTTCTCCCCCCTCCCGCCCATCTCCCATTCCCCCCAGCCCATCCCCCCATTCCCATGTCCTCCAAGGCAAATCCTCCCCTGAGGACTCAGATCAACCTGGTAGACTCAGTCCAGGCAGGTCCAGTCCCCTCCTCCCAGGCAGAGCCAAGCGACCCTGCATAAGCCCCAGGTTTCAAACAGCCAACTCATGCAATGAGCACGACCCCCCATTTCCTACAGGAGCATACAAGCATGGTTGCTATTCTTTGCACAATGTAAAACCCTGGCCTGATTTCTCCCTATAACGTCTCTCACTGTATCCAATTCCCTACCCACTGTCCCTGCCATATCGGAGCTATTGAGAATTCACTGATCATATTAAGCAGCTTTTAATCTCTGCTTTCTCTGTCTCCTGTCTGTGGTGTCGTTTTATCCACCACTAAGTCATTGCTAACATGTACCACTATCTATCACTACCTGCCTAGACACTACTTGCATCCTTCTTCAGATGTAGCTCAAACATTAGCCCTTAATAAGTCCGTGTGGACCACCTGACTCTAATGGTTCTCATACTGTCTGTGTATTCCACTGTAAAATGTTAAGAATTCTTCCTTTAACATGCATAATGCTCTAGCACACTTTGTTTTCCTAACATCTTGCCCACTGTCTAATACTGCTTTAATAAAATCTTTAAAAGCAGGTACCATGTATAGTTAATTTTTGACTTCATGGCATCTATTATAATTCCTAGCCATATCCAGTACCCAACCGGAACCCAAGACATATGATGAAACAAATAAAACAATGAATGATCATATAAAGCTCAAGCAGATAGAAGGCACAGTGGCACACGTTCTCAATCTTAGCACCTGGGAGTCAAAGGCAGGAAGGTCAGGAGGTCAGAAGGCCAAGGTCCTTAGCTATACAGCCAGTTCACAGTCAGCCTGAGCTGAAGGTTAGCTTTAGCTAAATGGCCAGTTTATGCCCAGCCTGGATTACAGGAGACACTATCTCTCCTCCAAACTGAAGAAGAAAAGGCAGTAATTGCTTATTAAATTGATTTTTGAGTGGTCACAGACTCTTCTAAAGTAGAGTTCACTCACGATATTTATTTTATGTGTAACATGTGACACTGTTTCCCTCTCCCACAGCTGAGGGTTTTTGTAATACATGTATTATGGTGATTCCTTTTTCTTTTCCTTTTCCTTTTTTTTGTACCCAAGAAAAAGAGTGAGAAAACAAAAACAATTGAAGAGAGGCCTCCCAGGAAGGAGGAAAGTCCTAAACTTGGACAGAAGAATCATCAAGAAAGGGAGATAGCCAGGCGGTAGTGGCACACTCCTTTAATTCCAGCATTTGGCAGACAGAGGCAGGTGGATCTCTGAGTTTGAGGCCAGCATGGTCTACAGAGCAAGTTCCAGGACAGCCAGAGCTCCAAAGAGAAACCCTGTCTTGGATTTCAAAAAAAAAACAAAAGGGGGCGGAGGGGAAGGGGAGGGGGAGGAGTGGGGGAGGGGTGGGGGTGGGGGTATGATAGGATGACTTCCAGTGTTGAAGCCCAGTAGGGAACTGAAGCAAGATGGGCTCCCCAACTACAGCATGCCCTGCGTGGCCATTTCCTCAGGAAGTTGAAGCCCTCTTTCCTTTTGGCAAGAATGATGGGGACTCCAGAGTTTCTCTGTCTAATGTCCCCCCAGAACAAGCCACAGTCCAGAGAGAACGATATCACTTCACCCTGCCAAGGACTGACAGCAGTGAGCCAGAGCCCCAGCTGGGATCCCCGCACCCAGCAGCCCTGCCCGCCACAGATTTGCCATCTGATGCTCCTTCAAAGCAGCTGGCAAATACCTACCCACTTGGGACTGAGCAACCATGGTGGACTTTCTGTCACACAGAGGAGAAAATGGCAGCCCCAGCTCAGCTTCTCTGTCACCCTAGAAAAACAGAAGGTCACAGTAAACAAAAGAACAGGCTGAGCTGCCCAGATTTTTATTTAGCAACCTCAGCTACCACTTAGGCCACTTATCTTTATTTTAATTATTACAATTACATTGTGTAAGAGGTCCTGGTGGGCCTGCTCCTCTAAACAAAAGACACCAAGAAGTGGTGGCTTCCGGAGAGCAATCATTCTCTCTGAATGCAAAGTCTCACGCTGTCCCAAAGAAAGCTTCACTGGGCAGCAATAGGTTCCCCATGGAAAACCAGGCAGCAGTCCATGTGTCCTGTGGCCTAGAGCCAACGTCACAGTCAGAAGGGCCCTGCTCCCCACAGTGTTCCTGCAGCTACCTATGGCCCTCTTCTAGCCACTAAACCCCGCGTGGTGAGTCATGTTCAAAAGGGAAATTCAAACTGACTGATGTGGCTTTGTCCCTTAACATTACCTAAAGCCACACACACACAGAGTGCGTACTTCTGTGTTTCCTGTCCTAACACTTGGTTTACAGTGAAAAGTGGACCAGAAAGAACCAGTTATTAGACATCAGTACAGCATAACTGTTCGGACAAAGTATTGTTCATGGCACCCAAAAGTACCGCTCTAATAAAAGCACTATGGGACGTCTAACTGTCGATGGAGGTGGCTTTTAAAAACATGAAATACAAGTTCAATCTTTCTGTCATGTCCAGAGGAAGGAGAAGAATATATCTCCTCATGTCTGTCAGTGGACTGTGTTCTTCTTCTTTTTTTTTTTTTTTTAGGTAGAAACTCACTCAGGATAATGGCTACCAGTCTGTGCTTGAATCCTGTCTTATTGCTGTGGTGTACGGTCCTAGGAAGGTCACTCACTGTCCTTTGCTATTTCACAACTTTTCATCTGTTAAATGTAGGTAACAGTCTAGACCTAAAGGGCTTATCATGAGGCAAAATGATAAAAACACGTATAGGCAAACAAAAGAACTACAAAAGAATTACTGCTGCCATAGAGAAAGCCATATTTGAAGTTGAGCTTTGAGAAACATGGAATGAATTTGTTCTAGCTAGCCTACCCTAATTGTAATGAATGTTACCATTGTATTAATAGCACTCAGAAACCCTAATAGCCTGCAGCCAAGACTGTCTCAACATCTGAATGCTTATTTCTAAATAATGTTACCAAGGAGTCAGATAAGAATTCTAGCAAAAGCACCAGGTAGATTTTAAGAGGCTTTATATTGATCAGAGCTATCACATAGCTCTGATACAAGAGCCTAATGCCTACAAAGAGCCTACAACCAAATGACATAGAAGCAGCATTTATGGAGCAAAAAGTCTAATGCACAGGAAGAAAAAATAATAGAAACACCTGCCAGCCCATGGCAGCTCACATATTTAAAAATGTTATATAAAAATCTAAGTTATTTAACTGACACCGTGAAGAAGGCAAATTGCTACGGTTGAATATAAAATGTGTTGACCACTTGGTCCCCAGCTGGTACAACGGACCCAGTCCTGATGAGTTCAGAGCTGAATGGTTTAAAGGAAGTGAGTCACTAGGGCCTCATCTCTAAAGGGTATATATTTCATGTCCTCAGAACTTTCTTCTCTGGCTCTCTTGGCTTCCTGGTCGCCAGGAGGGGAGCAGTATTCTTCTTCCCTGACAGCATGCCCCAGTGTTTCTGTCTTGCCACAGGCCTAAGCACAATAGAGCAGGTTAATAATGCACTGAAACCTCTGCACCCAGGAGCCCGCCTATACCTTTCCTCTTTTACGTTCATATTCTCAGATGTCTTGTCACAGTAGAGAAGATTTACTACCATATAGATACATCTGATAGTCTTTTGACTGTATGCTGAAATAAGACGCAGAAGTCTTCCATGATCCACAGACAAGCACAAAGGTGCTGTATGCATACAGTTAATTTAAGCTCCAAATAAAAAAATAAGAAATTATTTGGTCAATAAAAAGAAAGTAATTTGGAATCTATTAAGTGAAGAAACATATCACAAAAAAAAGTTTGAAAATATTCTATTTGAGGTAACTCTTGGTTAAAAGAAAAATGAAAAGCAAATTTCAAGACTAGTTACTAAAGACTGCCTTGGAGCACAGTGTGTCAGAAGCATCAGTAAACAAATACTTCTCAGTTTCTGTTTTCTAAATAAACAAAAAACAAAGGCAAATGAAGTGAGCATTGAACTCAGGGAGTTAGAAAAATAAAAGTAAATGAGATGAATAAAGATGCAAACAGGATCACTAAAGAAGAAAGAAACACTAAAATAACAACACAATCTTGTAGGGGAGAGAGGGAAAACACTCAGCAATGCATATGAAATAAAACAAACAAGGAAACCCCCACAGACACAGAAGAAATGAAAAGAACTGTGAGATGTTTCCAAACTGTAAAAGTGCACAGTGATACAAAGAAAATGAACCTCAAAGCTTCTCAGAATGAAATGGATTTACCAAGGCAGACATCTTATTTTTTTTCAAAGTCAGTGTTTCATTTGAAAGCACCCTGACGCTGTAGCATGAATTCTGTAGAATGTAGTTATGAAGCTGAAGATGGCACTCCATCCTATAGAAGAGCAAGGATGCCTACCTATGTTCGCAAGGGCTAGCTATCCTGTTATTTTGAAGTATCGCCCAACTTTCTGAATGTAATCTTAAGAGGCTCTATGGGATTTCCCATGTGAACTGTCCAGTTTCAAAGCTATCATTGAGAGCTGGAGGAGCATTACTCCGAGTTTCATGGGTTACCAGCTATCCTTTGGCATCTGGGGTAAGACAATAAAACTACTTTAGAGAATTACATTCACTAAAACCAGTTCAAGTCCAGTGAATTAACACACCAGTCCTAATAGGCCAAGAAATTCAGTATGGTTATTTCCATACTGCCCTTAGCACATTTTCATTTCATTTGAGTCTGTGTGTGTATGCATGTAAACAAGGTTTCCTTTATGGTGAGGAAATAGTGTTCACATAATTAAGTAATTCACATACTCTCATAATTCAAAAAAAGGAATCACTTCAGTATATAAAACTTATGTGAGTTAGCCATGATCTGTCCACTGGCCACAGACTGAATATTACTAGCATAAGGGAGGTATTTTTACAAAACTACATCAAAGGGAGCATATGAAGAAAGGAGAGGGTGAGTATTTATAGAAAGGTCTCATGCTGGTGTTAGAAAACCAGCCATTTAAAAATTGCTTAACATAAGCCCTGAATGAAGGATAAATTTGTAGTCGGTTAGCCTTGCATGCACATCGGGGTCACAACTGTGTCATTCAAGCCCCTCCCATGCCCACACTTCACTCCACTCTACTTGTCAGAGAGCCTGGGAATTTCTCTGGTGACCACAAAACGAGTGTGCAAAGGAGACTTCCTATATAAGGTCAGGGCACATGAGCTTGGTGTAAGGGTGGTTGTGCATTTGTGGAGTGGCACCCATGGACACACTGAAGACAACACAGGATATTCGATGCTGAAAGGTTCTTAAGAATATTTGTCCAAACTTACCCTGAATCTTTTCTGTTCCCTCAAAAAACAAACAAACAAACAAACAAAAAAACCAAACCAAACCAAACCAAAACAGACAACCCAAAAGACAAGGAAATTAGAAAAGTGACTTAGTCCTGGGCTGCAAAGCAGTTGGAATAAAGCTCCAATGGACAGTTTGGGGCTTTAGTGACTGTTAACTCTGGTCCCACTGACTACTGGACAATGTGTACAGTTTTAGGGAAAAAAAATACACGTAATTTTTTGTGCAATTATTTCCCCATTCAAACTAAGAGCATTAGGAGACTTTCATACCCAAGCCCAAGGTAACCAGTGTACAAGTGTGTCCCCACAGCTAAGATGGTGGAGACTTACTCCTCAAGGTCATATGGTAATAGTATTTAGAGGTGAAGTCTTTGGGAGATAACACAGATTAGAAAAGATCTTGAGAGTGGGTCACTAATACCCCATGAAGGTGTCATTGACTTTAAAGCAGAGCAACCAGAGCTAGCACTGTGATGCCCCCAACAAGTGGGCTTACTAGATGCCAGTGCCAGGCTCAAGGAGTTCTAGGTTCCAAAGCCATGACCTAAAGAAATCTCTATTCTTTACAAATTATCTCATCTCAGGTATGGTATTATAGCAACAGAAAATGAACTGTGGCTCAGAGAAAGAACCTACCCCTAGTCATCTGAGGGAACAATGGAAAGACGTGGTATTAAGTGCTGTTTTATGAGGGTTAGAGTTCTCAAACCCCATGTTGTGCGCTTCCCCTTTTGAATGAACAAGAATTAGCTGAGTTCATTTACTAATATGAACTAATAGTAACTGAGGTCTGTGATCTACATTTTATTGACTGAGCCTCAGGACTTCATATCTCAAAGCAGGTATCTGTGTGGCAGCTCTTCTCAAGGCGAGGCCAGCATCCGTGTCAGGCTGGAGAACTAACCCTAACCCCAAAGACATCTGTCTTGGTGACATGCACTTACTTTCTTTCTTTTATTCTGTTATATTTACATATTTGTATTTGTCTTAAAGCAATGCATACTCATTAAAGACTCTATTCTTACAGATAACACAACTCCGGATTAAAAGTGTCGCTAAATTTAAATGCACTTGAACAATAATTCCTAGTGATTTCTTGACTCAGAGTTGCCATATCTTAGTTTTGGAACATTGTGTCACCACTCATCCATCAAAACAAAGAACCTATCCAATAATAAGACATGAGTCAAAGATTATCAACTTAGTCCCACAGGGCGATACCAAAATAACACTTTTGGTAACTGATGGGGAGGTCGGGGGGAAAAAAGTCCTTTTCAAATGACACTTAGACAAGAGACTGCCACAAGGAAACACATTTCTTCTAAGCAGAAATGCCTTAGAGAGAACACATTTCACAATGTCTTAAGAATCATAATTTAGGTAAAAGTCAAGCATTACATATACAGAAAAAAACAACTGAGAAAACCCTCCTTCTTCAAAGAAAATAACTATGTCCTCCATGGTCCTTGCCAGAGAGTTGCTGAAATATTCAATTCCCAAATTATCCAGTGCCAGCCCTGGTGAGCAGCAAGAGACAAGGTACCTGTCTGAAGAACTCCTCCAGGAGAGACATGGTCCAGCGGTGGTGCAGGTCCCATGCTTTCGCGGGATGGCTGATGTCTGCTGTGTGCAGCATCAGGGATAAGGCTTTTGGCTTTTCAATTCTGCAAACCCAACACATGGAAGCACACAGTGACCACAGGCCTCAAACACTGGGAGTTGCAAAAATCTTTAAAATCACCTCTGCTTGTCCACAAAAAACCCAATTGACACCGATATAAGGAAAGGACAAATTGCCTATCAGTACTGCCACCACGCTGATTGAACGAACATTCAGTATTTACTGAAAAAGGTCCTTCTCATTTAACCAGTTTATAGAATGGCTGCATTTTTCAACCAGGCAACAAAAATCTAAACAATTCTTTCTTTCTTTAGTTACCTCTACATTCATCAGACCTTTGATTATTTAATTACTAACAGGGTAATGATAATAATTGCGGCTAACTAGTACTGTGTCTTGTATTTACTCCAACTCTGATTCTGATAAACCTCTAATTGTGAGATGCTGTATGATGTTCAAGCTCTTTGCTCCAGACATCATTACTTTCTGAGATAACCCAACCATTATCCTGAAGGTGATGTGTTTTAAATGCATAAAATATGCAAATTTTAGACTAAGCCCTATGACAACATGATGTCACAGGCTACTCACGCTTCTGGCTGCTGCAGGGCTGTCTTCATGGCTTTAATTTGCTGGAAATGACAGGACATATCCGTGGCCATTACCATCTCAATTACCAAGGTTCGAAACTCCCTTTTGGGGACACCCGTGAGGAAAGGGCATGAAAACAAAGAAAATGAAAATCCAACTTATTTTTTGCCACATTTAGTCAAAATCATTTAATTATTTCAGCATTTCAAATCTAATGTCAGTCTTTTTGGTGGAATTTTTATAAAGTGGGATATAAATGAAGGTTAAAGACAAAGGAACAATTAATTAAGAATATGATGGGGGGGAGTGTAGAGAGATTGCTCAGTAGTTAAGAGCATTTAATCCTCTTGCAGAGGTCTTGAGTTTGATTCTAAGCACCCACATCAGGTAGATCACCTCCCTGAGCACTTGCATTCATGTGAACATACCCATGCACAGACACACATACATGCATAGAATTTACAAATAAAATAAGTCTTTACAAAAGAACATGATATATCTGTCATTTGGAAAAATAAACCTACAGGGAAAGTTACAGTGATGCTGAAGTATGAATTAAAGTGTTCACTTCACAGTTAAATCCATTTTTAAGATAAAACTAACTTGAAATAATCCTAGAAACTAGACTGATAATTTATTGGGTACATTGTGTAGTCCACATTTTAAAAACAGGCTTTATTTTTTTAAGGTACTTTTAATCTTACAGAAAAAATGGAGAAGGATAAATCATCCTCTCTGCTGTGGTTTCCCTAATCATAAACATTCTGTGCTTATGTGGGGTTCATGAGTTACAACTGATAAACCAATGTCAATACATTTATTAAATGAGCCAGACAATGGTGACACACACCTTTAATCCCAGCACTCGGGAGGCAGAGGCAGGCAGATCTCTGTGAGTTTGAAGTCAGCCTGGTCTATAGAGTGAGTTCCAGGACAGCCAGGATGACACAGAGAGACCTTGTCTTGAAAACCCAAAAACCAAACAAACATTTATTAAATGAAGTCCATAGCTTACTTAGGGCTCACTCATCATATTGCACAGTTCCACAGGACTTGACAAATGCCCTGTCATGTGTCTATATTTTAGCATCATATAGAATAATTTCTGAACTCCGAATTTTTCTGTTATTTCCCCCTCCCCTGAACTGCTGAAAGCTGCTAGATGCTATACTGAACTAACAACTGCACTGAGGTATAATTTAGCTCAGAATAAACTGCTCCTATAGGAACAGCATGATTCAACCGGTTTTAGCAGCTGAATAAACCTTTGAAAACACCATTACATTCATAACAAATACTTTCATTACTGTCAAGCAGTTCCACTTTCTACTTGTACATATGTATGTATATAATGTGTAGGCATGTATATATGCTTGTAATGTTCATGTATATGAATGTGCACTGAAATGACAAACATATAAGCATGTTATACATGTATACATATACACAATATTTTACAAGCATTATACCTATACATATATACATACTTACATGTATATAAAACAAAATGTTCTCTTTTTGTCTGAGTTCCTTTCCTAGGCATAAGGACTTGCCACTTATGGTAGAGTGGGTCACCCATACTTCCTTGCTGTTTCCAGGTGAAAGGTATCCCAGCTACTGCAGTTTGTTATCCTGTTGTGTATTTGGTGTATTCTACATCAGTTTAGGGTGAATACAGACAAATTGTCCCTGGGTATCCGTGTGCAAGTCTTTATATGGACGTGGCCTCATTGCTTTAGAGCAAATATCCAGAAACAGAAGGGCTGTTCTGTTAGGCACCTGAGCATTTAACTGTATAAAAATCCTGCCAAAGCCCTTGCAAAATGACTGTTTAAGTTCACATTTTTGACAAGCGTGTTAAAGTTCTAGTTTTTTTTTTTCTTGCCTTCTGTCAGCCTTTAATGCTAACCATCCAGTGGGTGGGAAGGGGTATCTTATTGTGGTTTTTATTTGCATTTCCTTGATCAGATACTGTTACTGAGCACCTCTTGTGTGCTTTTACTGTGTGTGTATCATTTTTTAGGGAACCATGTTTCAATTAATTTTTACTTTTTAAAGGAGGGGTGTTTCTTTAAAAGCTCTCATTATTGAGCCGTCAAGGTACATTATGCTTCTGATACAAACCCCAATAGAATATGCACAGCATCCACGTTTCTCCAGTTTCGTGGCTTAGATCAATCCAGTACCTTCCAACAAGTTTAATTTTCATTAAATAATTTTTTTATTTAAAAAAAAAATGCCTCTCGCCTTTTGTGCTCTAAGAACTCCACATGTCCTGAAGACATTGCTGTGCTTGCCTGTGAAATCCTCACCACTATCATGGTTACTACCGAGCTGGGAGCAAACCCAGGATGCCTGCCACTGAGCTGCATTCTGAACTGAGTGACCATTTCACATGGTTTATTCCTCAATCTGCCGCTTCCCCCAGTTGAGCTATTTCAGCCTGTCTAGGTTTTATGCTCTATTTTATGACAAAATTTGAGCTGATTTTTGAGTATGGTTTGAAGTAAGAGTCAAAGTTATCGCTTTCCATAGACACCCACTTGTTTTAACACCATTTGCTTAAAATAGTTTCCTTTCCCCACTGATTCAACTTAACACCTTTAACAAAAATCAAGTGGTGAGGGGTCTGAGGAGATACCTCAGTGGATACAGTGCTTGCCAGGCAAGCATAAGGACCTGAGTGTGGGGTGTAGCAGGACACATTTGTAACCTAGCACTGAGGGACAGGGATCAGGACAAGAGGATCTGCTGAGTTTGCTGTTCAGGCAGTACTACCAATAAGTGACCTCCAGGTTCAAGGTAGAGACACTGACTCAAAAAACAAGCTGGAGAGCAGTAGAGGAAGACATCCAACATTGACCTCTGACCTTCCCCCTAAAAGGTTTTAATTAGCATACAAAGTAATAGCTTTCAGTATAGCTGTATGTGCATAAGTATCTCTGCACTTAGATTGCTTTCACCCCTCACCCCCTCTTGCTCCTCCTCTTCCTGAGGAGTACTCATTCTACCTTTATGTCATATGTGTGTTTACCTAATCTAGATTCTGCAGACAAGAGAAAAGTTCAGTACCTTCTGAGTTTGGTTTATTTAATTTAACATGATGACCTCCAGTTCAACTGTTTTTCTATAAATGTCATAATTTCATTCTTCTTTGTGAATGAATAAAACCCCACCGTAGGGGCTGGCAAGATGGCTTAGTGCACTGGTCCTCACCCTTCCTAATGCTATGACCCTGAATACAGTTCCTCATGTTGAGGTGACCCCAACCATAAAGTTACTTCATTGCTACTTCACAACTGGAATTTTGCTATTGTTATGAATTATAATGTAAATATCTGATATGCAGGATATGTGATATTTGACCCCTGTGAGAGGGTCATTCCATCCCCCAAGGCATTGTGACCCACCTGTGGAAAATCCCTGGCTCAGTGGGTAAAAGCACTTGCCACCAGATCTAACCACCTGAGTCTGATCCCACGTTGTGGAAGAAGAAAACATGGTGCATTGTGGCATGTAGGTACCCACCAACCTTTAACAAACTAATAAACATCATAAAAAGTCCACTGTGTACATGGACCATATTTTTTCTTTACTCATTCATCCAAGATGGGTGTCCAGGATGATTCATAGCTTGACTCTTGTGAACGCAGTCACAAATAAAGATGGGTGTGCAGGTGTCTCTGTGCTATTCTCACGTATTTCTTCAAGACTGCATCCCAGGAGTGGGAGAGATGAATCATATAGTTGTTCTATTCTTAGTCTTCTGAGATGTTTCCATGCTGATTTCAACAAATCTGATCCTTTATCTCCTACCTTGTGCAAGAATTTCAAATGTAATTTCCTAATGGCTAGCTGCTAGTCTATTATTTTTTACATTAACTTCATATTTAGTGGCCTCATTAAATTCATTATCAGTTTTAGTAGTCACCATAATAGTCTTAAGGCTTTATGTGCAATCAAATCTCTTTTGCTTACAGAAACACTTTATATTGTTCAATGTGGTGGTATTGTGTTCCCCAAAATATTGTGTACCCTAATAAACTTATCTGGGGTCAGAGAATAGAAAAGCCACTAGATACTTAGGATAGGCAGTGGTAGCACATGCCTTTAATCCTAGCATTCCAGAGGCAGAAATCCATCTGTTCAAGGATACAGCCAAGCATGGTGACTCATGTCTTTAATCCCAGGGAGTGATGGTAGAAAGCAAAAAGGTATATAAGGCGTGAGGACCAGAAACTAGAAGCATTTGGCTGGTTAAGCATTTGGCTGGTTAAGCTTTCAGGCTTTGGAGCAGCAGTTCAGCTGAGTTTCATTCTGGATGAGGACTCAAAGGTATCCAGTCTGAGGAAACAAGATCAGCTGAGGAACTGGCGAGATGAGGTAGCTGTGGCTTGTTCTGTCTCTCTGATCTTCCAGTGTTCACCCCAATACCTGGCTCTGGGTTTGATTTTATTAATAAGACCTTCTAAGATTAATGCTACAGTTCAATGTAAGATCAGGCATCCTAATCTTGTCCCCTGTCTTCAGTTGGAAGTGCTCAGCTTTCACCATGAAGGCTGACACCAGCTGTGGCTTTACACCGCTGCCTTATCCAGCTGAGACGCTATAGGCTCCTCTTTGTTTCTCATTGCAAGAGAGTTTTTACTTGATAAGTAATGACTTTTGTCAAATGTTTGGATATCACTGTTGAAATGACCACATCGTTTGTTTGGGGGTTTTGTTGTTTATTTGTTTGTTTGTTTGAGTGGATGCCTCACTATATGGCTCTGGCTGGCCTGAAATATCTCAGTACGGATTCCAACTCAGGATTCCAACTCCTCCTGCCTCAGTCTCCAGTGTGCTGGGATTACAGGCATGTATCAACAACATCTGGCTTTCTTTGCTTGCTTATTTGCTTTTAATATGGCAAATTTTTTAAATTTATTTTAGAGTCCCAAATTAACCGTGCATCTTGGAATAAAATCTCTGTAGTTATCAGGGTTATCCAATACAACACAAATACATTTATGTATATTTACATATAAACATTCATTATAAAATTTACATTTCTTTTTTTATGAGACAGGGTTTCCTATATCCAAGACTGGCTGTGACTTCTCTATGCAGGGGTAGATGACTTTATCCCCCTGTTTCCACTTTCCCAGTGCTGGGACTACGGGTAAGTACAACAAGTTCAATTTTATACAGTTCTAGGGATCAAATCCAGGGCTTCATTCATGATAGGCAAACACTCTACCAACTGACCTAAATCCCAAGCCACGGAACTAACCTACAGACTTATGAAGGTTGACAAGACCAAGGTCAGCTGGAGCAGTCAGCAAGCTAAAGACCTTTAGGGCCAATGATAAACTCCAGTCAAAAGACAACAGACTCAAGATTCAGGAAGAGGGTTTCAGTTCAAATCCAGGAGGTCAGAATTTGATCTTACTTGGGGAAGGGAGTGAACCTTTTATGTATTTAGTCTAACCCTCAGCTCCTTGTGTCAGGCCTCCTAATACTAGGAATGACAGTCTGCCTTACTGATTTATATGTTACTTATTTATATGCCTACTTATTTATATGTTAGCTTCAACTAAAAACAGACTCATGGAAAGAGCTTGAATGCTATTCAGAGAAATATCAAGGCTCACTATGGCCAACTTGAGTTGACGTAAAATTAACCACACTATCCAAATCAGGTTTTTTACATAACATTATTTTAAATGCTAATATTTAACAAGGATTGATGCACTTATGTTCATGGGGTTTACTAGTTCCCAAGATTCATTTTGTGATAGTTTTGTAAAAGTAAAGTGTTTAAAATTATGTCTCTGAGGCAAATTAGAAAGTAGCTTCTTCTTTCAATATTTTATAAATAATTTGCATAACATTGGGATGATCTCTTTTTTGTGTTTTCAAAGACTTCGTTAGAGAGAATATCCAAGGATGGAGGTTTCCTGGTGTGAAGATTTTTGATGGCAAACTCAATGGTTTTAATAGATACAGGAAAATTAAAATTATCTATTTTATCTTTTGTGAGGTTTTGTAAATTGTATTTGCAGAGTATTTGTTTATTTAATCAAAGGTTTCAAACATGACGAAATAATATTATATTTTCGAAATATGTAGAATCTGACAATGACAATATATGTTCTATCTCAGTCAAGTTAGAAGCTTATAAATATTGTTGTTCTTTTCAAAGAAATAGATTTTAGCTTTGTTAATTTTTTCTGTTGTTTGTAATTTTATGGATTTCTTCAGTAAGACTGCTATTTTTGCTTTTCTGTTTAGGCTGAGTGCTGTGCTTACTCTGGCTTCCCTCCATTGCTGTGTTTATATAAGATATTCCAACAAGATTTTCTGATACCTCAGATACATGATTATTTCTGTTCTCCTCAATGTTTTATTTTCTTTGCGGTAACAGTGGCAAGAGGCACAGATATAAATGGTATGGTGGTTTGAAGGAAATGGCCCCAAAGAGAGTGGCACATTTAGGAGGTGTGGCCTTGTTGGAGTAAGTGTGGTTTTTTTGGAGGAAGTGTGTCAACTGTGGAGGCAGGCTTTGAGGTGTCATATATGCTCAAGCTGCATCCTGTGTCTCAGACCACTTCCTGTGACCTACAAGTCAAAATGTAGAACTCCCAGTTCCATCACTATGTCTCCTGCATGCTGCCATGCCCCACCATGCTGATAATGGACTAAACCTCTGAACTGTAAGCCACCCCATTAAATGTTTTCCTTTACAAAAGCCATGGTCATGGTGTCTCTTTGCAGCAATATGAATGCTAACTAAGACAGAAGTTGGTACCAGGGACCGAGGTGTTGCTGTGATAGGCCTGATCATTTTTAATTTGCAGTAATATGGACTTTGGTACTTTGGGTACCAAAAGCAGTGGAGTGCTTTAAGCACCACTTATTGGGCCATATTAGTAGGAGCACGGATGACAGTGGTCCTGAGAATTATTTGAACTATAGGGGACTGACTCAAGAGGTTTTAAAGGAGAAGAATTTTAGTATGTTCCCTAGAGATCATTCTTGTGATATTTTGATGAATTGGCTGCCTTTTGCCCTATCTGAAGAGTCTGCCTGAGGCTAAAGTGAAGAGTTTTGGATTAATTCCATTGACCAAGGAAATCTCAAAACAGCCTAGTAGAGATTATGTCATGTGGTTATTAGTGATGATAATCAAGATTTATAATGAAAAGCTGGGCAGGATAAATTACAAAATGTAAAATATGAGGAGAAAAAGAGCACCAGGAAGCAGAATGGAGCTACCTCACGTGTTCAAGAAGATAAACAGTAAAAAATGGAATAAAGGGAGTAATGACCTCAGGGCAAGATCCCACCCAGCTAAGTTTCCAACTTGTGAAAAGGGATGAAAGAAAAGTTTAGGCAGGGTGGTTGTGGCACATGCCTTTAATCCCAGCACTCCAGAGGCAGAGACTGGCAGATCTCTGAGTTTGAGGCCAGCCTGATCTACAGAACAAGTTCCAGGATAGCCAAGTTTAGTCAGTGAAGGAAACCCTGGAAAACAAAAAGCTGATTAAGATGTAATTGAATGAGGAGGCCATGATCCATCCCCATCAAGCAGCAGAACTTGGCAGCTTCAGCCATGTGGTTCTGGCTTTAAAGTCAAGGATAGAAGAAAGGGGCTATGGAGTTTGCCTTCATGATTAAGAAAAGCCACTGAGGTCAGGCACGTGTCAGGAGTGTCCCTGAATAGAGGTCTAGAGAGACCATTGTATGAAGCTGTGAAGTTGAAGCCTGGATTGCCTGGGAGATCCCACGATTTTGGTGATGCCAGAGTCCTGCCAAGGAAAGCTGCTAACAGCGAGCGGAACCAGTCCAAGGGAAAGTGTGTTGCAGAGACCAAAGCTGAAAGGAGTTGGAGATCTGAAGAGCACTTTGACATCAGACATGGAGATCCAGAGTTTGGAGTTTGGCCAGCTGGTTTTTGGTGTTGCTTTGGTCCAGTATTTCCTCACTGTCCTCTCTTTCCTACGTTTTGGAATGGTAATATATATCCTGTGCTATTATATGTTGGAAAAATGTGATCTGCTTTATTATTTTGATTTTATAGGGGATTGCAGTTAAGAGAATACATGAATCTCAGAAGAGACTTGAAACTTCAGACTTTGAAGTAAGTTTGAAACTGTTATAATCTATGGGGACTTTTGAAGTTGGACTGAAAGCATTTTTGCATTCTGATACAGCTACAACCCTTTGGAGGCCAGGGAGTGGAATGTGTGGTTTGAAAGAAAATGGCCCTCAAAGGGAGTGGCACTATTAAGAGGTGTGGCTTTATTGGAGTAGGTACAGCCTTGTTGGAGCAAGTGCATCACTGTGGGGGTGGGCTTTCAGCTCTCATACAAGCTCAAGCCATGCCCAGTGTCTGAGACCACTTCCTGTTGCCTGTGCAAGATGTAGAACTCTCAGCTCCCTCTCCAGCACATGTCTGCCCACATGCTGACATGCTCCCTGCCATGATGATAATGGACTAAACTTCTGAAAATATAAGTTGCCACCTCAGTGAAATGTTTTCCTTTATAAGAGCTGCCATGGTCATGTTGTCTCTTCACAGTAATAGAAACCCTAACAAGACAGGCAATAAGTACATAGACTTCACTAAACTAATTTCAAGGGACTACATTGACTGTGTCTACATTAATTCACCTATGTGGTTTGAATCACTCCATTTTATAACGTATTAATCAGAGGCTATATCCAAATGGTTTAAGCCAATCCTATTATTTGTGTTACTTTGCACACGATCACCAACAATTCAGGGTTAAAGACAAACAAGGATGCCTGTGTTTGTGTGTTGATATGTTCCAGTGTTAACTGATAGGCCTGCCTTATTTCAGGTCCCAGAGGTTCAGACCCTGACTGGGTCAGCAGCTCGGACCAAGCTGGAGACAGGAAGAGCAAAGGAAGCTTAAGATCACACCAGAAAGGAAAAAGAGTACCACTTATCTTTTTCTGACAAAATTGTACCCAAACAAAATAAGAAAATACAAAACAAAAATGAAGATAGAAATGATATAGCCAATCTATTTATAAAGATGTGAAAAGCCAAGTTAGCAAGCTTTGGGGCACTTATTGTGAGAGAGCAGAATGGAGTTTATGCAGGGTGTATTTCTTCAGTAGCAACATGCCCCATCTGTCCACACTCTCCCTCTGGCTTCCAAATCTGTCATTTCACATTACCTCCAGTCATCCTTTGAGAGGTTGACAAGAATATTCATCTCCTCGTCTTCCTGCAGAAGGCGGTAGGCTGCACTCAAGTGGTGATTCTCCAGGACAGATCTGTCATTGTACAGGATAGCTGGATCCGACCTGGGTGGAGAGACACATGAACTCCTTCAGGCTGGGCATAGCTGAGATCCCTTCTGCTCACTCGGACACGTTTTTGGTGTGCTGTCACCCTTTCCTGTTCTTAGAAATGGTCTTGTCCCCATGCCATTTGGGTCACCAACAGCTCAAACTAACATTACATTATGATAACATAACATTATCAGTAGATACAAGAAAAGAACTTTACTATCAGTACGTGGGTGTGCCATGTGTGACATTCAGCCTTAGCATGCCAACACCTGCTTTATTTATAGCAAGACCTCAATTACCTGCACCAGTGGCAAAAGTGACTTTTAAAAATGTCAATGTGTTAAACTTTCTTAGAATTTCTAGAATAACTTTAATTTTTATATTTTTTACGAAATCCAATCAATATCCTGGTTAATTTATTTTAGTTGTAATTCTCTAAGTACATATCACATGGTGGTTACTATCTGCAAGGTGACTCTATAACTTGATCTTAAATTGTTTTTTCATAGAAATGCCATACATGGATAGTTGAAAGCAGAGAATATAATTTGTATATATCCTCAAAGACTATTCTGTAGTTGAGTGTTACCTAACATAGCTGTACATCATTCTAATATCTGCAGGTTAATTTAAGCTTAGGTTATCAGAGCTCATTGTTTCTCAGCTTGGGTACCACACTATAGATAGGAAGTGTCATCTCAGAGTCCCAGAACAACCAAGTCACAGGACTGTGATGGAAGTGAGGTCTTTTGACAACAGGACTGATATGTCCGAAGACAACACCTACCCGCTGCTGACCAAACTGGGGAGGAGTCTAGTACACCTTAAAAATCTTAGGCTTAACATTTGATCTATCAAGGAAGAAAGGGTCTGGCCATACAGTTTTCTAAACGGGGATAACTTGTGCTCAGGTGAACTGGACAAAGCTTTGCTGAGGGCCAATGTGTCAATGCTTCAATTTAATTCCGAAGTTAGATATTGGTAGATGTGTGTACTTTGTGGCATTAAGCTCCTGTTTACCTCCTATGACTTACAGGTTTTCCAGTGGGTTGACTGAATTTGTTCTTGGTCTCTAAGCAAGCTCCATGCAGTTGTCCCACCCACCCCTCTTCCTTAAGCATCTGTGGGTCATGGCATTGTCCTCCAGGCAAAGCTTCCACCCAGTCTTCTGGGGATCTGCCCATATTTAAAGGCCTTGGAACAATGACAAAAATATGCTCCCAGGAGTCCAGACCACTCTAGCTGGGGAGACGGAGTGAGAACTACAGAGAATAGCATAAGTACTTTCCTTTGCTTTCATCCCTTTCTGAACACAGAACAGAAAATACCATCTTCTTCTGTGTGCCACAGGGGAGGGAAGAGAGGAGAGCACAGAGAAAGAGAAGAATATCTCACCAGAAGCTCAGAGACCAGGGGGTGAGAAGGAATCATATTGTTAGTATAACAGGAGCCCTCCAATGATTAGCTGAACTCAGTGACGTCATTTACATGACATCTGGGACTCTATGCAACCTGTGCCACACCTATTAGAAACAGGTAGAGTAGGCACAGAACATACATAAATAACGAGTGAACATTACAATAGCGAAGAAAGGAGGACCCACTCCCTTTGGATCTGAATAAAATATGAGAAACAGCAGCAGGTGGTTTTTAAAATGCTGCGTGTTCAATGAAGCCACCCAGGTTCCTGTCTTGTTTACAAGTCAATCTTTTCAAAATTCCAAATAGAGCAACCTCAGAAGAGGAAATGACAAACACACAACTCACTGACATCTAAAATTCTATCCCTGCCTCCTCGTGCCTTTTCTGCACACATTTCGACCACCTCACCGGGTCTGAATGTGGAAATTGTTGGTAGTTCCAGTATGTTCATAGTCATGGATGGCAGCCGAGAAGATTATTGCAAAGATCTCCAGCTCCGTCAGCCAGTTCTGAAAGAGAGAGTCACAGCAAGCAGATAATGGGTCTCTTGCTCAGACAGTTCAGCATGCTGACAACATACCCCCCTCCACTGCCTTCTACCCTGCAGCTACTGACTATTGCCAAACAAGTTCTCTTACACATGGAAGTAACGGGGGCTTTTCCTCATTGAGGAGACTGCGGACTTGTAGTTTGAACACAACGTGCAAGGTTGCAAGAACTAGTACTCTGATCTGACATTCCAGAAAGGCAGCAACAGTCAATATGAAGAACTTTAAAAAGCCCTCATCAAATATCCCTCCAACTTGAAATAAAATTCTTGTTTCTCTTTCCTTTCCTCTTTCTGTCCATTCCCCTCCCCCCCCAAAAAAAAATCCAACACAATACCCTCTCTGATTTATACAGACCTCATTAAATTTTTAACACAATAGCAAGCACTAATAGCAAAACGCCTAATGTCTGATTATGGGAGAAATGTCTCTACAAGTTGGGGGAGACACATATACAGAAATAAATAAGACAGATATACAGAAACAGATGTTTAGAGGGACTGATTCCATTCATAACCCTGGTTCAGTAGTTTGTCAAGTCTGTCCAGGGGCCAGCAGAATTAGCAACACTTGAGATACAATACAAATATAAGCAAATTCTCTGGCTCTACCTAATCTCACTGAATCAGAAACTGTTAGTTGTGGCTCAGCAATCTGTACTCTATCAAGTGTTCCAGATAGTTCTGATGTACATCGGGGTTTAAGAATCACTGTGCTGCTGGAAGTTCCCTTAACTGAGTCCCACTGAATGGGCTCTGTGACTCACAGATACTTCCCATCCCTGTGTACCTGGGTACCTCTTGCTTACATCTCAGCAGCACACACAACGTATGTGACAACTGCAAATCCACAGAGAACTGTAAAAGTTGATAGTCTCCAATCAGTTCATTTCCTGTGGTGGTTTGAATGGCAATGGTCCCCAGAGGCTCATATATTTGCACTCTTGGGCTCCAGTTGGAGAGTTTGGGAGGAGTGGCCTTGTGAGAGGAAGTCCATCCCTGAAGGCAGGCTCCGAGAGTTTGAAGACTTGCACCATTTCCAGCTGCTCTGAGACCTCTCGCCATGCCTTTACTCTGCTATCATGGACTCATCCCCTGGGAAACATCAGCCAAAA